TTAAAACTGTTTATTGAGTTCAAAATTCTCACTATAGACAACATCGCAAGTATAATTTTAAAATGATTTTTAAAATCTACTAAGGTGTGGGTGAAAGATTTGCAAAGAAGGCTGCAAGCTGAATTTAAGTAGATTTGTGTATACAAAGACAATTCAAACCAATCCACTTTCTTATATGAAGTTATTCTCATTAAATTTGTAGTGGTCAAGGTCTATACTTACCTTGTCCAACACATGAATTGTTAAGTGGTGGTACCTATACAGACATAGAGAAAATGTTCGTTTACCAAACGCTTGTAAAAGAATCGTCTAAGTAGGTAATAGAAAATAGCTATGTCACAATTTCGATGGTTCGAAGTGCATCTTTATCTATAGGTCTATTATGCAGAGAAAAGGAAATCACTATTCAAAAATAAGAAAATGATTCCCTCAGATGAAGAGAACATTCTCATTTTTTATAAGAACTACTTTTCTTATAGCCAAATAGTTTCCAATTGGTGGAGGTTTTGCGAGTTGAGTTCTTCTTGGACTGTCACCAACTAGTTAGCGATCTCTGGGGGATGGCCTTGGCGATCATATTATTGCCTGTTTGCTTTTCAGATGACACTGTCTTCAGTTGAATAATGCAGAGAGGTTATGGGCCACGTCGCATCTATTAGCAACTCTTCTAAGCCCAGGGACCATGGATGGGTGTGGATGAAAGGATAGATACTCTGTAGGCTAAGAATGAGGTACGATGCAATTCATGAATAGGATCTCCAGAATCTAAGAATGTTGTAGGGTGGAATTCAACCTCTATAGGGTCTAGAAATTAAGTATGATGAAACAGAAAAAAACGAAACTCTAAGAATAAGATATTATTAGTTGTGATGGAAACTGGATGAGGTATGATCAAGTTGACGGATGGAACTCTAGAATCTGGGAATGAAGTAAGATGAAATAGAAATATGGAAAGAATTCATATTCATATTCTAGAATTCAAGAATGAAGTATGATTAAATTAAAGAATTGAAACTCTAAAATCTAATATTCTGGTAAGATGATTGGATTATGAAACTCATCTAGGGTCCAGGAATAAAGTATAATGGAATAGAAAATTTAAACTCTAGAACGTAGTAATAAGATATGATGTAGTTAAATGTTGGGAACTGAATGAGGTACTGTATAATCAAATTGAAGGATGTAACTCAAGTACGAGAATCTAGGAATGAGGGATGTTGAAATAGAAAATTGGAAACTCTGGAATATAGGAATGCGATGTTATGTATTTGAATGATGGGATGAGGTATGATGAAATTGATGGATGGAAAATGCAGGATCGTGAAGTTAGGCCTAATATATTTAAAGGATACAAGAACATTTTCAAAAATAGTGATTGTAATATAATGGTATGAAACATAAACTTAGAGTTTGTGGTATGATAAAGTTATGGAACTTAAGCTACAGGATATAGAATTGAGATCTGGTCTAAAAAATGTAAAATGAATAGTGAAACCTTTAGGGTTTAGTCAGGAAGGAATGATTGTAAGAAAGGATGCAAATTGGAGGTCCTAAGAATAAAACGCGATCGAAAGAAATTATGGAATTCTAGAAATGAATACAGTATATTAAAACCCATGAGATGTCATAGAACAAAATCGCAATAAATTATGTGGAACAATAATTCAATCAGGTAGTAGTCTATGTTAAAATTTTATGAAAATAATTACAAAGTCAATAATGTGTATACATAACAAATAAGTATAAAATAAAACATTTTATTATATAAAAAATAATGATATGAAATCAGATATGATTTGAAATATTTAATTGGAATTGGCGTTTTTATTAGAAATATTTTTTTGTTCTGTTAAAATCTGTGTGTTTTATTTTTTTAGTTTTTTTTTAGTTTTATAAATTTATTACTTAAAAATAGTTTAGTATTAATCATAAGCTATTTAATAGTATAAATAAGTGACTGATAAAAGGTATAGGGGTAGAGCTCAAGCAACATTTCTCTTGTGTTTACAGAAACTGTAGAGGCTTATAAACAGCTTTATAACTTTCTCGGAAGGTCAACTAAAATTGTTGGCTTAAGATAAAGTGAGGATTGGTTTAATGCACTTAACCTCTCGCTTATTAACTCAACATCTATAAAGAGTAATCGAAAAATAGATCCGTTCATGTATGTGACTACTAACACAGTAACAATCTACTGTTTAGTGTTAAAACAAAAATAGTTTAAACCCTTTTATACAAGTGCAAATTTAAAACGTGTTTCATAAAAATAATCAAATATTGACGGTTTCTTTATGTGAAAGAGTATGAGCAAGGAGATGTTCGATCGACAATTGATGTCAATTTTCAATTGTGCGGTCATTGGGATGCAATGTCAACTTAGCCACCGTTAGATATGGATATACTATTGCTTCAACTGTCCATTTTAAAGTTTAAAGTTTTTTTCAACCTTTTTTTTACTTTTCCTATATTTTTTTTATTTTCTTTACGTAGTATATGGAAAAAGAATTGTTCTCGTCAAAATTTTCGAATTGAGTTTTGGGTGGATATCCGTTTCGGGCCCCCCTGAACCTATAAAGGTGGTTTTCGAAGTGATGTCTATGGGTGTGTGTTTGTTTACAGAGCTATGGCCCACACCTGTTGTCCGATTTTGATGAAATTTAGAATGTAAATTTTTAATTTCTTTGTAATTTTCATTTTTAATGGCAATTCCCTCATAAAACCCTATAAAATAACAAAAACTCGGATTATCACAAAACTACTCAAATGATTTTGTTTAAATTTATTTAGTGTTTAAAATTTTAAACAAAATTTTACAACCCTCATTGCTGTAAGAATTTCGGTCCAAAAGTTATCGCAGCTTTTGTGATTTTCCCCATTGAATATTACAGTTACTTCCACCGCTTACTTAATGATAAGGGCTGTTGACAAGCCAATGAAAGAAAATATTTGTCAGATTAATGGTACCATTTTTATCTCTAAGTTTTAATTTCAGGAAATAATGTTAAGGCCTTTAGTGGGGGAGTGCTATTCAGATTAGAAAAAATCCTCACATAAAATACTGTTTTATTGATTTTTATAAGGATGTGGGACTCCGAACCACCGGCATTTTCACACGATTAAAAGCTGTTGGTGTTTATCGGGATGTCACCTCATGACTCTAGGACAGAAATCTTGCTCTAACCACTACACTAACTATGCCTAGTATGAGTGAAACCTATTGGAGGAAAAACAAGTTATTTCCAAGATTTCAAGTAGAGACAAGTATCGTTAAATACATCCAAAACCTACGTATCTAACAAACTGGACAAACAGGACTTCTTTAATCTAGGAACAAACGTAGAATATCGAAAAAATTAAAATCTGCCTCATAAAATGTTGGTTGTCACTTACAGTGTCAACTGTCATGAGCAAATACGAAAAGCAAACAATTTTATTTAATACGACATATTTATTTAATGCTATATTTAATACTTGTCATGATACATTCGACACTTAACTAAATAAGTAGACACAAAAATATACAGTGACTTCTTAAAATACGCTTTAAACAACTGCTGACGAAATGTGAGTACAGTATTTCCGATCAAATGACATCGCCGATGGTTTAACATTATGCTTTCAATTAAAAATGTAACTTATTTTAACATTTTACATAGTATTTTAGAAACTATAAGGAATCGGCTACTACCATAGTAATCATAATTTCGGGACATCTATTATTTATCGTTGTAGGGTCCCTAATTTATATTTTTAGGAATTTATTTCTCGTAGCCAATTACTCATCTTATTGAATGTGAATAAAATGTGAAACCAAGTTCCAATAAATGGAATCGTGAACATGTTACAGTATTGGGAAGTGTAGTCTGAAGGATTGATTACACAAAAATATTTTTTGGCCTGTTACTTTCCAACCACTCGAATAAATCACAATGATGGTTTGCTTAGCCTGCAGGTTTGCTGTGCCTGAGTTACTGTTTAGTTGCTGCTGTTTGGGGCGTCCCATAGGTGTTACTTTACAGGACAAAATTTGTCATAGGATTAACTGTATTCTCTGTACTGGACAGTGTTCATTACAGCAGACAGTTACTAATGCGATGTTAGCTCACGATGTTCTTGGTAAAGTAATCTTACACTGTTTGCAAACACTGATTAGATTACGAAATAGTATAAGCAATAATAGCAAACACATTGACATGGTGACCTTGACACGAATTCCACACAATTACTGGCGCGTTACAAAACAGCATAAACCGATTATATAAAATAGAACGGAATCGAAAACGAGAAACAGCAAGATTTAAACTAAATGAAGCTTGGTTATTGGGGCAAACACTGGCTTACAATTTGGGATTATTTGAGTGAGAGATAATTTAGTTCAATGTTTATTGGAACAAAGTAAACGTGGAATTTTATGCTGGATGTTAACTGGATTGCAAATTGCCGTCCTCTTGTCCTCAACCGCAAAACACATGCAAGGAAATTGAGTACTTCGAGAAAGAAATGAGGCATTTCAAGGACAGCAGTTCGTTTTCAGCCACTCGAGGAAGGAGTGGGTCGTAAGAGTCCTACTGAGAGAAAACGGAGCGTGAATTATATAAAGGTCGAAACTGAAACTTGTTTTGTGTACCAAAAAAAGGAAATCATTATAGCAAAATGTTTCTTTATTCATGAATCATCAAATGTATATTACAGAGCACTAAGACATCGCTTAGCATCTCAAATTGTAAATCGTAATTTTTGTCATACATAAATTCACACATCACATCCTTGAAAATTGCAGAAGCGTTCCGTACCTTGAAGAGCAGCAAGCTTAGAACTGTCGCTCAAAAAGTATCACAGAGCGAAACTGACAAACACAAAGCAACACAATACTCTTACTACAAACATTACAGAAAGAAATGTTCATTTAGTTAGCAACTAACAATATCTACGATTTAGAACACACAGACTAAGAAAGCTGAAATGAGAATAAAATACGAGGGAACAACTATTTATCTTACCTCCTTAAAACCTTGATTTCATTTTCCAACGAATCTTCTTTTCCTTTCAGGGCCTTTTTGTCTATTATTTTGACGGCGAACATCTGACCTGGATGTTCTCGACTTTCTGCCAGTCGCACTTCAGAAAAGGCACCCCTGTAACAGAAAAAAGAGCTTTAGTTAGGTGGTTCTAAATTGTAAGCATAGAGTACAGTTACATATAAATATGACTAATAGTTGAAATAACGAAATAAGTAATGTGATCTCCGTTTAAAATCTTAGAATATTAACGGATTTCCCTTCTGACGATTTCAGTATTAACATTAGGTAAGTTAATTTCTTTCATCCACGAAGCAGTGAGCAATCGCAATACTTGTGTAATATGCATCTTAACCAATATATCTTCTTCCAAAAAAAGTAAACGTTAAGGTCAAAATATTTTATAAGTATATAATAATGTTGTTACTGTTGAGAGCTGTTATTTTTCAGATGAGGACTATGTTAAGGAGGTATATACGCGTATTGCAATGAAATACTTTACGTTACCACTATGCAGATTGTAGATTAATCAGGACGTCTGATTAATATGTTAAAACGTAATTTGTTCGCAAAACCTACATGTAGATAGCGTATTAAATTCCAAGTGTTATTTGGGACGTGTGAAAACTGACCAGAGATAGTGTAAATCTGTTAGGTCGCAGTAGCGAGTTAAACTATGAGCAATCAGCGAGCGCGTATCAATTGAGGGGAGTGGATAATGACGAGATCGGATCACGACTTGTGAGCACTCCACTTGATACTCGGCACAACTGGTCACCAAGCTACCTCACTTGCAACGGAATTCTACAACCTCTCAATATACACAATCAATAAGGTATTGGTAATCAAGCTACCTCATACTTGCAGCGGAAATCTACAACCTCTCAATGTATAAATAAAAAAAATGCTGGTTACCAAGCTACCTCATACTTGCAACGGAATTCTACAGCCTCTTAATGTATACAATAAATAAATTACTGGTCACCAAACTACCTTATAATCGCAACGGAATTCTACAACCGCTCAATGTATACAATCAATAAATTACTGGTCACCAAGCTACCTCATGCTTGCAACGGAATTCTACAGCCTTTCAATGTATATAATCAATAAATTACTGGTCACCAAGCTACCTTATAATCGCAACGGAATTGTACAACCGCACAATGTATACAATCAATAAATTACTGGTCACCAATCGACCTCATACTTGCAACGGAATTCTACAGCCTCTCAATGTACACAATGAATAAATTTCTGGTCACCAAGCTACCTCACACTTGTAACGGAATTATACAGTCTCTCAATGTACACCATCAATAAATTACTGGTTACCAAGCTACCTTATAATCGCAACGGAATTCTACAGCCTCTCAATGTACACAATCAATAAATTACTGGTCCCCAAGCTACCTCATACTTCCAACAGAATTATAAAGCCTGTCAATGTACACAATCAAATAACTGGTTACCAACCCACCTCAAATGTATATAATCAATAAATTACTGGTCACCAAGCTACCTCACTCGCAACGGAATTCTACAGCCTCTCAATGTATATAATCAATAAATTACGGGTCACCAAGCTACCTCATACAGTTTGCAACGGAATTCTACAGCCTCTCAATGTACACAATCAATAAATTACTGGTCACCAAGCCACCTCATACTTCCAACAGAATTCTAAAGCCTGTCCATGTACACAATCAAATAACTGGTTACCAAGCTACCTCACTTGCAACGGAATTCTACAGCCTCTCAATGTATATAATCAATAAATTACTGGTCACCAAACTACCTTATAATCGCAACGGAATTCTACAACCGCACAATGTATACAATCAATAAATTACTGGTCACCAATCGACCTCATACTTGCAACGGAATTCTACAGCCTCTCAATGTACACCATCAATAAATTACTAGTTACCAAGCTACCTTATAATCGCAGCGGAATTCTACAGCCTCTCAATGTACACAATCAATAAATTACTGGTCACCAAGCTACCTCATACTTCCATCGGAATTCTACAGCCTCTCAATGTACACAATCAATAAATTTCTGGTCACCAAGCTACCTCATACTTCTTACGGAATTCCACAGCCTCTCAATGTACACAATCAATAAATTTCTGGTCACCAAGCTACCTCATACTTCCAACAGAATTCTAAAGCCTGTCAATGTACACAATCAAATAACTGGTTACCAAGCCACCTCATACTTCCAACAGAATTCTAAAGCCTGTCAATGTACACAATCAAATAACTGGTTACCAAGCCACCTCATACTTCCAACAGAATTCTACAGCCTCTCAATGTACACAATCAATAAATTACTGGTCACCAAGCTACCTTATACTCACAACGGAATTCTACAGCCTCTCAATGTACACAATCAATAAATTACTGGTCACCAACCTACCTTATATTCGCAACGGAATTCTACAGCCTCTCAATGTATAAATCAATAAATTACTGGTCACCAAGCTACCTTATATTCGCAACGGAATTCTACAGCCTCTCAATGTATAAATCAATAAATTACTGGTCACCAAGCTACCTTATATTCGCAACGGAATTCTACAGCCTCTCAATGTATAAATCAATAAATTACTGGTCACCAAGCTACCTTATACTCACAACGGAATTCTACAGCCTCTCAATGTACACAATCAATAAATTACTGGTCACCAACCTACCTTATATTCGCAACGGAATTCTACAGCCTCTCAATGTATAAATCAATAAATTACTGGTCACCAAGCTACCTTATATTCGCAACGGAATTCTACAGCCTCTCAATGTATAAATCAATAAATTACTGGTCACCAAGCTACCTTATATTCGCAACGGAATTCTACAGCCTCTCAATGTATAAATCAATAAATTACTGGTCACCAAGCTACCTTATACTCACAACGGAATTCTACAGCCTCTCAATGTACACAATCAATAAATTACTGGTCACCAACCTACCTTATATTCGCAACGGAATTCTACAGCCTCTCAATGTATAAATCAATAAATTACTGGTCACCAAGCTACCTTATATTCGCAACGGAATTCTACAGCCTCTCAATGTATAAATCAATAAATTACTGGTCACCAAGCTACCTTATATTCGCAACGGAATTCTACAGCCTCTCAATGTATAAATCAATAAATTACTGGTCACCAACCTACCTTATATTCGCAACGGAATTCTACAGCCTCTCAATGTATAAATCAATAAATTACTGGTCACCAACCTACCTTATATTCGCAACGGAATTCTACAGCCTCTCAATGTATAAATCAATAAATTACTGGTTACCAAGCTACCTTATATTCGCAACGGAATTCTACAGCCTCTCAATGTATAAATCAATAAAGTATTGTTCATCAAGATACCTCATACTTGCAACGGAATTCTACAGCCTCTCATGTATACAATCAATAAATTACTGGCCTCATTTCAAAACTCATTTTTAGGGAACATTTATTTTTGAAGAATAAAATATTATTCTACAAATTATTTTCATCAATGCAACTTTTACATTTATGGTGACGTTAAAACACTAGTTGATTGCTTAAATACTTTGAATCGACAACAATATTGTAAAATAAACAATATTTAATCACCTTGAGTTAAATAAAGCCATGTAAGATTCAGCAAATTCGCTTTATGTTTAGGCCGATATGATTACCATGTGATAGTGTAAACCCGATATCAACAAAGCCCTTTGACGTAAGAATTTTATGTATCAGAAATGCAGAAATAATATGAGAAATACGAAACAAATTGGAGCCGGATTTCCTTCTCCTAGCATTATTGGATTATACTAAAGAAGATTGCGCAATACGAATATGATACGGTTCAATCCAATGAAATGTCGATTTGTTAAAATTGTAAAGGCAAAATGCCTTTGATGCTCCTGCCTACACACTCCCCAGTTACGAACTGTATAGCAATACATTACTTAGATTGCTTTGTTGGCAGGGTATTTGAATATAGGAATGATGTAATGTAATATAATGCAACACTAATGTAATTTTATTTACGAATATTTCAAGTGTAATTTAAAGGGTTGTGTATCAAAATGAATTAATTTAACTCAATCTTTGTAACATAATTCTGGCACTCAAACTCACAAACACGATCGCTATTTATCATAAATAATTTCGACTAAGGTTTAATGGATATTTCAATTGAAACCCTAAAAATAAACATATATTTTATCGCATAAAAAATAATTTTTAAGTTGTTCTAAACATTTAAAATAATTAAAGATGCTTGTAGGAATTAAACTCAATTTCTGGAAAATGAAGAATTGAGGTTTAAACCAGACACTTTACCTTTAAATACAATTAAATAAATACTGGAAACTGAAATACAATTTATTACTTAGCTTCATCTTAAATCTGAAATGCTCAGGTAAGCAAATTGTGTTTATTTCACTTTACAATGATTTTTAACAATTGTTTTATTTTAGAAGGTACCGAACAAAATCATGACTCACCAATATTTTAGATTATTATAAAGTGCATCAATTTAAAAATTGTAACTTAAAAGTAAAAAACAAAATTGATTGGCAGACCTAGGTTCCTGACTACATAAAATCCTTCTTAGACAGTTAAGACATTTTTGACACCTAAAACAAATATTTTGCAACTTCTCTCAAAACCATTTATTTATTAGAGCTTAAAAATATAAAATAAACTATTGAAGCGTGGTTATCGCGTGATGATAACGGATAGTATTTTAAAAACTGTAAATTGAAAACTCCCGTTTTTTATGGAGACAAATTATACTTTTGTAGTTTGATTTTTATGGATGTATTATGATCAGATTTGGCATTTTTATTTTCTACTAAGCTATTACATTTTACTATAACACTCTTTATATACCTTCCTTGTAGCTGAAAACCTAAGTTATCGAACCTAATGTTCATTTAAATAGGGAATAAATTTGACCTATTTAAGGAAATATTTTAGTGAAAATCCAATCGGGCAAATGGAAGTTTGCTAGTCTGCAAGTTAGCAGCTGCGGGAAACTCTACATTAGACCGAATAGTTGAAAAATGTAAAGTGTTCTTAGGCTGAATCGTTCCACCTTGTATCTATAGTACGAGTAAAAA